TGTATATAAATGCGCCAGACAATGAATCGGAATTATATAGCAGACAGAGAGATTGAAGATATAAACGGACAATTGAGTCAAGCGCGGTAGTAAAGTGCGTGAATCGTGGTGAATTATAGCGTGTGTTTAAGTTAAAGTGACTGTGAAAATTCTGTGTATTGCAAAGTTGTATTGAGGAAGAATAAACTAGTTTTATTTAAGAAAGGGCTTGTATCGCTGAAGTTTCTCGGAAAGAATTTCTACGGAAAATTAACAAACGAACACAGACGTAACAATATATTATTTTAAAATAAATGGACTGTGTTGTTGTTTGTTTGTTGTTGAAATATATCGCCAACAAGTCATAGACGCCTATCGTAAAGAATTCGGCCTACAAAACATAACAGTAGCAATACGACTTTGGGATTACAATTACAAAGTGTCAACAGAAGCCTATTTCAAGCCACAAAAATACTAATGCTTCATCAGAAGAATGTAGACTATGAAGAAAACATTAAATACCATAAGCAGCTACGCTATAACTATATTTACATCACAAAAATAGGGGGTTCGGCCGTTCTCCCTCAAACTCCCCGTGCGTGCAGTTAAAGGGGAGAAAATTCCTAACTCATGCATATTTGTATAGATATCCGAGCCACCCCTTGATATTGTTACGTCTCCGTTCGTTCGTTAATTAATTTTCCGTAAATCCGTTCCAACGAAACTTTAGCGACACAAGTCCTTTCTTAAATAAATTGGTTTATTCTTTCCGAATAAAACTTTACCGATACACTTAATTTCAACAGTCGCTCTACAATCAAACGTTATAACTCACGTCTCACGTGGCCAACAATATTTTGTCCGCATACATTCAATTACTCATTACCCCAGCGTCGCTTCGTGACCAGTCTTATATATACGAGACTACACTATATCTAGTAATCTCCCGACAATTCACGAAGGTTCGAGAAGGACGTGGCGTGATACTAATCACGTGACTTCGCTGACGCAACAATATGAAATAGTCCCTCCCCAAGTGGGGGCAGACACTGGACGAAAGGCATATGATTTTCTAGTTGTTGGCATATGTAAGCTTTACCTTAGTTACAGGATTGGTGTATGTTTACAACCTTTTGACATTTGGTTAGCTAGAAAGTCTTTACAACATACCTCCACGGATATTCAGAATAAAGTTAGGTTCTAAGCAGAGTTCAGAGAAACGTAATCCTTGTTTTAATTTAGACTTAGGCAAATTCAGTTAATGTATAGGTATGTGTGTGTGTGTGTGTACAGTGAAATATGAAAACAAGTATGTAAATAGAATGTATCCAAAATTGGCCTTCATGTTACTAAATATGCTTTATTGAATCTAATTTGACTTATTACAGCCACTTAGTATTTTATCCATTAACTCCAGCCAACGCTTCATTCAAACTTTGATCTTATATTTTATTCTGTATTAATATAGAGTTATGACTATGGGCCTTAATAGCACATTGATGAATCCGGCCTACAGGTAGGCCTAACAAGTTAAAATGACCCTGAGTGTACATTCTATTATTGATAATTTCTAGGTATTCTAATAAACTCTCAAAACACCTCACATACGAGACACTGTGTATTTTACACAACCTTCCAATCTTTTATAAAATCTAGCATAAGATACCCACTCTCCGCTGAGGAGTTCAGAGGCCCTATTGTATCAATAAAGCCTCCATCATCCCCAATTACTTCTATAACTACCCCAACGGAGTCCATACCTAAAAGAAGTGCATTGTATCTGAGCTTGTGGATCAAAGTTTGGTCCCGCTCGATTGTGGATGTAATGTTAATACGGTTTCAAAAATAACGTTCCCTAGATTCCGTGGGAGACCAGGAACACAAAATACGATGATAAATTGAGTTCAGCGACCTTGCAAACCTACTCCCAGAACACCTTCTTGCCTGGGTGAACTTTGAGTTCGTTTAACCCCCTTTGATACCCCAAAAATATAGAAAGGAAAGTACATCACTTCCGGGGCATCCCGAGTCCTCCTGCTAGCTCCAAAACTAACACATAACGCGAATTAACGTAGAATATCTGCATATTTATGTGATTTTCAATTATTTTTTCTGCTCAAGAACAGTCATTCAGATAAAACAACTGTTGCTTTTTAAGTATTTTAAGGAGCTATTGTTTTGCAGGTTTAATTGTAAAAGTGAAAGTCTAAATTTTTACAACCTAGCACAGTCTGGTGGTTAGGGCGCTTGAACTTGCAATCTGAGGGTCGCGGATTCGAATTCCTGTCCCACCAAACATGCTCGCCCTTCCAGCAGTTAGCGGTGGATGACTTTCCCTCTAATCCGTCAATGGTGATAGCCCTCGAATAACTTTGTACGAAATTCAAAATCAACCAACCTTTGTTTTAAAGCAAGTTTTATCGCGAATTAATATTTACATAATAATAACTTTACACGCAAGTATAGAATATTTAATCTCTCTCTCTTTAATTTTAATAATAATAAAACACTTAATAAAAGAAAGCGACACTATTTTTAATAAATAAATTGTTTGCTAGAAATAGATATATAATTTTATTCGATTTAGTAACAATTAAATGGAAATATATCAATTCAAAAATGTGCTCTTGGCCTGCACTCAACACGTTGAAATTTTATTAATCTTTGTTTGATTAATACAAAAACAGGTTCAGGTAATTTCATTTTCGTGTTAATGTTCAAAGTTGCGTAACAAGATGATACCCGTGGCATGTTTTTAAGAAAGACTTTGGTTAAAAATCAATTTAGTTATTTACTCATCTCTTTAAACGGAAAAGATATTCTAACAAATAATCATATTTAAAAATATTATGTACAGTGCTCAAAGTGAGAGGGAATATACAGGGGGGGTATGGTATACCCCACTTCTTAAAACCGAAGCTGTCCATGCTACCACGTTATATTCTTATGAAGTGAGTTCGGAGGCCACACACATTGAGGCTTGCCATATATATTACTTCTACTTATAGTTTCCTACTTCTACTACTGGTTGTAAGTATAAAAAATATAGTGGTGATACATGAGGATAAAATGAATACCATAACTTATTAGGATTAGTCCAACCTCTTGCGCATACATGCTAATAGATAGGTTAAAAACATAATATTTAAGAGGATCCCACCATAAAAAAGACAATTAAAATAGCAAAAAAAAAACAACAACAACACAATACAACAACTTAAGTTAGGGTTAGGGTAATCCAGGTTCCGATACCCATGTGGGCACAGTTAAACTGGTACACAATTTAAAAAGATTTTATTTAGGCCTATCTATGACCTAAATAAAACGTTTTTAATTGTGTACCAGTTTAACTTTGAATATTATTTATGATTTTAATTGAAGTAATTTTAAGTTAGTCTTAGTATAGTTGTTAAAAAGGTTTAACGTCATTTGTAACGTAGTCCTACAATATTTTACAGCAATGTTGAACTTCAAACTTGTAGAAACGTAAAAGAAGGAAATAAACCGATTTCTTCTCCGTGGACTAGACATTGAATCATTTTCATTGGGTAATTTAAAACAACCCGACAATGCAAGAAATACGACAAAACACTATTATCCGGCTCATCGCGTTTTATATTTTTCTTTCTTCTTTTTAGTTTTATATTTCGTTTAAGTGAAGAGAGGTTTAGCCGGATCATAATTAATATATATTTAAGTAGCTCAATGCCATTATGTGGAATGTACAAAAGTTAAACATCTGGAACTCTGATTTAAATAACCGTTGGAAATATTTAGACATTTTAAAATATTACTGAAGCATCTGACTTCAGATATATTATGACGTCAATGTTCAAAA